TGATTAAGCTGCTGAGAGACGCTGGCCAGGCATTAGCTACTGACTCTTCCCATTCATGCGGCAATTGGGAGATAGTAACTCGTCAGGGAATCATCCGCACGCTTGGGATGGCAACGCAAGTGCCTGTTGTGCAGAGTTCGCTAAAAACAATTCCATGGCCCTGAGGAACATGGGCACCATGTCTGCGGTTGGAATGCGTGTGTCCATTTCGCGATAAAGACATGTAGCTTTAGGCAGCCTTCTTTTTCAGATACCCCTGTGCAGTCGAGCGAGGTAAGCGTGCGCCTTCGGCACTCTGCAGTGCGAGATCGGCAGTGCGGGATCTGGCGCACCGCCTCCGACTGGAGTGGCGACCGCCGCAGAGCAGCTAGATGCTGGACACATCGAGGCGGCTGCATTCAGAAGCGTCGAGGGCCGCTCGCGCGCGGGAGCTCGCCGCCGCGGCGTTCCGCGTCGGAAGGCGGCGGAAGGGCGGCGGAAGGGCGGGGGAAGTAAAACGAGGCCGCCTTCGCCAGCGGAAGCCGGCGGAAGCCGGCGGAAGCCGGCGGACGGGCGGCGGAAGGTGGCAGAAGTAGAAGATGCGCCCCCAAGAGATGAACACGTTTCTGGGTTCAGGGTTTCCGAGATCCGCCATGTGAGGGCACTCGGGCCATCCGCTCGAGCGCGGAGCTCGCCGCCGAAGAGCTGCACCGTTCGCGCTGCGCACTGAAGCAGCGCTGGGTGGACCTCCGCGGGGTGAGCCCCCCTGTGGCGGCCGCGCTGGCGCGTCTGCTCCTCGTGCCGCACCATCCGCGGCCCACTTCCCCCTCTCCCCCTGCCGATATCATGTCTGTAGGCAGTTCCCCTGCCGCTGCTTGTTCTACGACGTGTGTGTATATATCTACATATATATATCTACACTGTATACATGCACATGACCGATGCTATCATTATTCGTATCACAACTATGGGCATGCATACCATATTCTGGTTCTCAATGGTTGGTAGTTGTTCGATGACCTTCGGGTTTTGCAAATCACTACGCGTTCTTCACCCTTACTCTGAATATCACTCTTCGTGTAGTACTGATCATTGATTGAAGGCACTATTATGTGCCAGCTTCCTGGCTATTCGTACTGCTGTTTGTGTTGGAGTGTGCAGGTAGCGCTCAGCCTTGCTGGCCCCGTTCCCTGCTCCCCTGCCCCTCGCCCTCGTCTGCTTGCCTCTCGTTTCCTTCCTCCCGCTCCGACGCCGTGCGGCGCAGACTGCCGGGGGGAGCTGACGGCGGCTAGATTCTCTCTCTCTCTCTCTCAGCTCGGGTGTTGCCAGAAGTGCCCCTGGCCCAAGGTGCCCCCAGAGTTCTCGGGGGGCCCAGGCGGCCTCCAGAGCACCCCTCACGAGGCCCCAAAGGCCCCAGGGGCTCCAAGATGGAGCGACAAGCTGGGGGCACCTTGGGACAGGGGCACTTCTAGCAGGCGGTTGCCAGGGGGCGGTCCTGGCCTAAGTTGCCCCCAGCTTTTCGCGGCACTCGGCGCCCCCTGATCACCGAGCGCGTTCCTCTACTCGCAGACGTCCGAACAAAAAATGCATGTCTCCTCCGATGTATGCTGTATCGTACATCTCCCGTCGGCGGACCCAGGCCGTTTGAGAACGGCTACTCTGCGAGTCGTGGAACGCGCTTGTCCACCTGGGGATCCCTGTGCCTTGCTCGGCCACGCGCAGAGGGGGGTAGGGCGAGGGGGAAGGCTTCTTGGAAGGAGGCTGCTTCTTAGAAGGCGGCGGCCTTACATCTACAGACAAGGCCCGCGCCTTCTGAGAGGCAGGGGTGCTTCTACGACGCCTTCCCCCCTCCCCCCCTAACCCCCCCTCTGCGCGCCGCCGGCTTGCGAGGGGGTGCCCCGGGGGCCGCCCGGGCCTCCCCTGGAGGCGCGGGGGCCGGCTTGGGCCGGGGCCGCCTCGTGGCAGCGCCTGGCCTCGGCCTGCGCCTCCGCCTCCCCCTCGGCCTGGCGAGAGGCCCGCGGAGGCGTCGGCAGCCAGGGCCGAGAGCGAAGCAGGGCCCCCCCTTGGACTGTCAGTGAGGATCTAGGCGTCGCTCGGACGTGTGAGCATCTTTTTTCGGCGAGGACCATCGCGAAGCATCCTGGATCTTCGAAACATGCAGAGGGAACATGAATGCACAGGTCGAAAATGTTTTGCATGGTGCAGAGGGAACAAGAGCATCCTGCAGAAACACACGCACGAGCTCGGAACATGCCGAGGGAATGTGGACGTCCCCGCGCTGGCAAGGGATGCGTCGGCGCGCGGGACACCTCACCGCACCTCCTTGTGCTCAGAGCCGTCTGCCTGGCTTCTCGCACCGTGCGATCACTGTGCTCCCTATCGTGTGCCGTGGAGCGCCCTCCCCCGTGGCAGGGGAAGCTCGGCGGGCCAAGTGTGAGCTCGCCGCCCCGGCTGTGCAGCCAGCGAGACGGTCACCGCGCAGCCTGTGGGGCACACTGTTTGCACGGGCTGAGACGGCGGCGGCTAGCAAAGTGATGCTGCCGTTCCCACCTGGAGCGCTACGGCACGGCAGTGGCTGCCGACCCTGCGGTTACCATTGCTCCGGTGGGTGCGCAGTATGCTATGCATCTGGTCGCCATTCTTTGTGTCATCCGTGCTTCGCGGCAGCACGGGTCTTCCCTTTCCCCTTGCCTTGCCCTCGCGACTGCTCTGCTCACAAGCACTCCTTACGAGCTGTATTCTCCACTCATTGACGACGCGCGTGCCGATAACTGGTCCCTCCCGTATTTTTTGAGTTCAGATCTTACCGTCATGTTTTTTGTTCCTTCTGCTCCGCTCGGAACACCTTCGGCTGCGACGAACTGCACTCTTGCCCCGCCGCCAGCCGCATTTGTGCCCCTCTGGAACTCCCCATTCTGAGTAAGCACTGCAAATGCGACTTAGGGACCCAGGCCCGATTCGACACCCGACTTGGGCAAGGGGTGGGCGGGAGGGGTAAGTGTCACATGTGCCCCGACCGCACCTGTCTTTGCCTTTGTGTTTTCTCCCCTCCCGTCACCCCTTTTCCACCTTCCCTCACTTCCGTCGGTGTCACCATTCCTTACAACTCCCCCTTGCCATCTTGACAGGAAGTTGTGCTTCTCCCGATGACCGCCTGTTCTTCTTATTTCACCTGCGCGTCCCCCGCCAGCATCGACGTCGGAGGGATACATTTGCAGACGTGTGTGAATACACATTGACCTAGACGTGTACGCTGGTGTCTCTCTCTCTCTCTCTCTCTCTCCCTCTCTGTATATGTACACATATGCATAGGCATGCGTCTACGGATACGTGTATATATACATATTTATATATATATATATACATATACATGTGTTCATGTATATATATATAACCATATATACATATATGATAATAGACGCATTCGAACAGCTAGACACGTATAACTGTACCAGCGCATACACGTAAAGTTGTGGATGCGTGTATGTGTATGCAGATGCAGGACACCTTCATGCATACATCTAAACTTATGTATGTATACGTATGCCCCCGAAGTCGTGCTTGCACGTAGGGGCTTTCATGTGGCTTACCTGCCTACTTGGCTGGGCCTGCCGGGCTTTCGCGTGGTGCCCGTTTGGTGGCCGCCAGGGGCCGCCCCGTGGTCACCCCATGCGTTGGGTAGTTGTAAGGGTTTCGCCCCGTGCCCGCGTGAACGCTCCGTGGCCGCCCTGCGGCCGCCCCGTGCGCGGGGTACACCGCACAGCCCGCACCACGAAGCTTGCACCACGCATTGGTGCATCGCATCTCTTGCACCACGCAGCTTCCGCCTCATAGCTCGCACTGCACAGCTTGCACCACATAGCTTGCACGACGCAGCTTGCACTACATAGCTTGCGCCGCATAGCTTGCACCACATAGCTTGTACCACATATCTTGCACCACATGACATAGCTTTCGCTACATAGCTTGCTCCATGCTGCTTGCACCACACGGCTTGCACCTCGGAGCTTGTATCACACCACTTGTACCACATAGCTTGTCTCGCGCACGTAGTTTACACCACATAGCTTTCACTACACCGCTTGCACCACCTAGTTTGCACACCATGGCTTGCATCACGTAGCGTGCACCACGTAGTCCACACACCCATACAGCACGACGGCAGTGCTTCGAGTCCACGCTGGTGTGCGAATACTGCTGCTCGCATGTATTCACGCACATACACGCACATACATTCATACACACACACACCTTTCCCTATATGTGTATATCTATGTATATCTGTTTATGCACAGGTTACATATGTACACATGAATACAACCTCATGCCTCATGTATTCTGGGACACATGCCAGCACTCACGCACGTCCGTTTGCGCATCTATGGGCGTGTTTAATCATTAGAACACGCTGGCGTTCGATTCAGATCGTGTGGGGGAGTGTGTTGGCGTATCTACATGTATACATACACACATATATATATACTTCAATACAATATAACGTAAGCGTGCGTTTTTGCACATTTTACGTATCCGAGATAGTGAAGCGTATATTCGGAGGGCCATGCACATAAGCACAGCTAGTGTTTTTGTAATATACAAACGTGTACACATACACATACATGCACACACATATATATATATACACATATATCTATATATACACACACGTACATATACATGTATATATATGTATATATATAGACGTAGCTGCATCTGTTTACACACGCGCCGATCTAGGACGAAGAACATGCAGCACGACAGGTGGGGGTTGGGCAAACATGGGTAGGAGGCGGGCGGAAGGGAGGGATCAAGTCTCCCAGTCTTCGCGGGCCAAGCCCCGCACTTTGCGAGCCTCCGCCGCCGCCCCCCGCCGCGTCCGCGCCGCCCCCCCCCCCCCCCCCCGCGCGGCGAGTTCGTCCCGCCGCAGCTGGAGCAGTGTACGAGCATGACGCCGCCCGCGAAGGGCGGCTGGGGCGGCGGCGGCGGCGGCGGCGGCAAGGGTGGCGGCAAGGGCGGCAAGGGCGGCGGCGGTGGAGGAGCCCCAGCCGCCGCGGGCAGCGCAGGAGGGGCGCCCACAGCCACGACGGGATTTTCTTTTGGCCGCCTTTGAAATTTTGACCTCCGAGGGCCTTGGCCGGGCCCCCGGGGCCGTCACAAGGCGGCCCTGGACGAGCAGCGAGTCCCTTGGAGGGTCCACGCCTTTGGGAGAGGCCTCCGAAGTTGTGAAACACGGGTTCTGCGGAGGTCGGCGAGGGGGGGGGGCAGGGGGCACGTGGGTTTGCGAGGGGTTTGCCTCGAGGATGCCCCCCTCCACCAAACGTTGCGAGCTTTCGGCGCGTGCACACTCTTTGAAACCATGCTGTCCGTGAGCTGCTTTTTGTTGGCTATGCTGCCGTATGGGGCGCTTCAAAAAGGCTTTGCCTGCGAGAATCGAAGGAGTTGTCATCTCTTCCGCGGCAGGACGCGGCGGAAGGGCGGCGGAAGGTCGGCGGAAGTAAAACGAGGCCGCCTCCGCCGGCGGAAGCCGGCGGACGGGCGGCGGAAGGTGGCGGAAGTAGAAGATGCGCCCCCAAGAGATGAACACGTTTCTGGGTTCAGGGTTTCCGAGATTCGCCATATGGGGGCGCTCGGGCCACACGCGCCCGCGAGTTGCGAAACCATTCAGCAAGCATCGCGCACACGCCACAAGGCGTCGATTAGAGCCACTCGGGACACACGCGCGGGTCTCCGCGCGCGCACGTCGAGTTCCTGCCAAAGCCGTGTTGTACACGGCACATGCACATGCAGTGGAACCCCCATGCCAAGAGACACCCTGCTCGCCTCCAGGGTGCCCTGGGTTTCCTGGGTTTCGATGGTTTTGCGATGGAAGGCGTGACGTTCCCCCACAGCAACATATCCATGGGCGTCCTGGGGTCTCAGGGTGGGGTTTCTTGTGGAAGGTTTCTTGTGGACGGGTCCCCACTGTGGGCTCAGACCTCCAGCGTCTGAAGCGGCTCCCTGCGGGAGTTTTCGCCCCACTCGGCCTCCCGGGACCCTCGTCAGGCCCCGGGGCCGTCAAGCACGGACTTGGGATGAAAAGCCAGCCCTATGGGTAAGAGTCGGCCACGCGCAGAGGGGGGTAGGAGGAGGGGGGAAGTCTTCTTTTAGAAGCACCGGGCTTCTTAGAAGCCTTCCCCCCTCCCCCCACCCCCTCCTCGAGCTGCCAAGTAGAACGGCCGGGTGCCCCGATCTCCGACGATAGGATTTTGCAGTCCCGGCGCTGCTTTCATTCAGGTTGGCCTTTGGGGGCCGCTTTCGGGCCCTGGGGCGATCAACAATGGGTCCAAGGATGCGTGGCATTGCGCTTCAATTCCATTCGCGCGGACGGCATTCCAGACAGCTCGGGCATTCCAGACAGCCCGAATGCGTCGCCGAGCATGCCTTCGTGCTGTGTCCGCTCCTCCTCCTTTCCTCCTCTCCACGCAGCAACCCAATGCATGGGTATGGGACACAGAACGACACCTGGGGGAAGTGTAGGGAGTTCCTGGATCTGAGGAGCCCCTGCAGTGCCAGAGCTGCCTGCGCAGGGCACGCAAAAGCACATGAGCATCCGCATTGGCTTGATTTTCCGTTCGTCGGGGGATGAAGAGGAGGAGGAGGAGGAGGAGGAGGAGGAGGAGGAGGAGGAGGAGGAGGAGGAGGAGGAGGAGGAGGAGGAGGAGGAGGAGGAGGCGGATGAGGATACTGAGGAGGATGAAGAGGCGGAGGAGGAGGAAGAGGAGGAAAGGGAGGAAGAGGGGCAGGAAGAGGAGGAGGAGGAGGAGGAGGAGGAGGAGGAGGAGGAGGAGGACGAGGAGTGGGAGCTTTCAAGGCCTTTGGCCCCCCAGGAAGAGTACTCGACTGTCGGTGCCTGCTCTGGTGGTTTTGCACCTGGTGGCCGCCTCAGGCTGCCCTTATCGAGGGCCCTGCTCCCACCAGCGTGCTTGCTGTGGACCCTCTCTTCTTAGCTTCCCCGCTCCAGGGAGGAGGAGGAGGAGGAGAAGGAGGAGGAGGAGGAGGAGGCGGAAGAGGGGGACCAGCATGATAAGGACGAAGAGGAGGACGGCGAGGGCGACAAGGATATCGAGGAGGTGGACGAGGGAGAGGAGGATCCTGTTGATGTTGTTGATGATGATGATGATGTTGATGATGATGATGATGCTGATGATGATGATGATGATGATGATGATGATGATGATGATGATGTTGATGATGATGATGATGATGATGATGATGATGATGATGATGATGATGCTGATGATGATGATGATGATGATGCTGATGCTGATGCTGATGCTGATGCTGATGCTGATGCTGATGCTGATGCTGCTGATGATGATGATTATGATGATGCTGATGATGATGATGATGATGATGATGAGGAGGAGGAGGAGGAGGAGGAGAACAAGGATGAAGGGGCCAGAAAATGAGAGACCCCGCCCCCCGCCGCGACCAGGAGGCTGGGGCAAGGGTGGCGGCAAGGGCAAGGGTTGGTCGCCGTACTGAGCCTGAGGCCCGGTGCCCCTGGTATTTTTCTCCCTGGTGCCCACGACAAGCCCAGCGCCATCGACAGTCCACCTTGCGTCCAACTCATTCGCCGCACCGGGGCGGCACGATGTGGCGATGACGTTGCAAGCGACTTGTCGGGCATCTTTCTACTAACTCTGCGGGGAGAGGCAGAGATGAGAGAGAGAGAGAGAGACAGAGAGTCAGCCCCACTCCCCGCCAGTCTTGGCGACCACATCTTACCAGGGGACGCGCGAGGTCCCATGGGGCCGCGACGGTTTTGTGGTGGAGTTCCGAATGCAAGTCCCCCTCCCCGAGCCTTCCCTTCTCTTGCCTTCTCCCCCCCACCTCCACAACCCTTCCCTTCTCTTGCCTTCTCCCTCCCACCTCCACAGTTGTTCAATCATTGCTCAATCTGGCCTCTACTCTCCTTTCTCCCCCGGCAGCGCCCCGCCGATTGCCGACCCCTCCCGCATAGTGTCCTCGTCCAGGCGCAGGATCCCACACGCTGGTGTGCAGTACTTCCCAAAAGGTGCTTGCACGTAGGGTCTCGTAAGGTTGTTCTTCGTGCTGTGCTTGGAGGGCGGTGTCCCAGGTTTTTTCACAGTCGCCGCCCGTGGCCGCTCATGGGCGACTCGTGGGCGCCCAACCCGTGCAGGCTGGCGGTTCCGGGTTGTTCGCGGGGTCGCTGCCCTCGGCCGCCCCGTGTGGTGTTCGGCGGCTCCCAGAGGCTGTCGCCCAGTCGTCCCAGGGGTTGTCGCCCAGTCGTCGCCCGTGGGCGCCTCGTGGGCGCCCCGCGTGCTGGCCGGCGATGCTGGACTTTCGTCCCGTCACCGTCCGTAGGCGCCTCGTGACCGCCCGTGAGCGCGCCAGGTCTTCAAGTTCTGGCTGCCCGTGGGCGCCCGGTGGCGGCCCCGATCGTCCGTGGGCGCACTGCGCTAATCCGTGTTCCGAACCAGAGAAGTGGAGTCCCCCCCTTTCCCTCCAGCCTTATCGCCCCCCGTCCACATCTGTTTTATCTCTATTCAGCACGGCCGTTCAACCTATACATCAGAGATATAATGCCGGCCACGCTGGTATCGCCCGTCATTTCTTTCAGCGGAATGCAATGCGGTACACATGCGTTGATATTACAAGAGCACAATGTAACACTCCCTATCGAACAATACTATGCGGGTACATGTGCGCTCCGTGCGCACACACTTCCAAGTCCTCACAAACCATTGGCTTCTTAGACGCTTAGCCCATCGCCATTTCATAGCCATCAAACACCGCTGCCCCCTCCACCAAACGTTGCGAGCTTTCGGCGCGTGCACATGCGTTGAAACCATACTGTCCGTGAGCTGTTTTTTGTCATGCTGCCATATCGGGCGTTTCAAAAGGGCCTTGCCTGCGGGGATCGAAGGAGTTGTCATCTCTTTCGCGAGGGAAGGCGGCGGAAGGGCGGCGGACGTAACACGAGGCCGTCTCCGGAAGCCGGCGGATGGGCGGCGGAAGGTGGCGGAAGTAGAAGATGCGCCCCCAAGAGATGAACACGTTTCTGGGTTCAGGGTTTTCGAGATTCGCCATATGGGGGCGCTCGGGCCACACGCGCCCGCGAGTTGCGAAACCATTCAGCAAGCACACACACGCCGCAAAGCGTCGAGTAGAGCCACTCGGGGCACACGCGCGGGTCTCCGCGCGCGCACGTCGAGTTCCTGCCAAAGCCATGTTGTACACGGCACATGCACATGCAGTGGAACCCCCATGCCAGGAGACACCTTGCTCGCCTCCAGGGTGCCCTGGGGTTCCTGGGTTTCGATGGTTCTGCTATGGAACGCGTGACGTTCCCACCAAAAATCAATAGACGTCCTGGGGCCCCAGGTTTTTTTTTGTGAGAGGGTTCTTGTGGTCGAGCTTCTACTCTATGACCCCCTAGCTGTTTTACAGTACCAAGTCTGCCAGGCTTCCTCAATTTATACGCGCGCGCTTCCGCATCAACATTATCGTAACCATCATCATCGTCATCATCATAAGCATCACTATCAGCATCATCATCGTCATGATCATCATCATCATCATCATCATCATCATCATCATCATCATCATCACCATCAGCATCATCATCATCATCATCATCATCATCATCATCATCATCATCATTACCATCGTCATCATCATTATCATCACTCGCATCATCAGCATCATCGTCATCATCATCTTAACGATCACCATCATCGTCATCGGCATCATCACCATCAGCTTCATCACCATCACCGACGTCGTCGTCGTCATCATC